CTTCAGGCGTTGAAATGCCCGGAGGCGTCGTTCCAGCAAGCGCAAATCTACAAAATGTTCGCAGATGAGATAGTAAATTCCACGCCTCGCGAGAGTCTGACATCAGAGATGCGATCGCAGCACGTCATAATGTTGACGAAAGCAAGAAACTGCTTCTACCTCACGTTGGACCGGCTTCGTAGTCCCGGCACGAATCCCAAGCACCCGCTGAATGCCGAACTTGGTACTCATATTACTGACATCGAGAACGAATTAAAAAGGATAGATCCGGATCTTGGCAGAGGCGATTTGAGTAGAAATGACATCGATAATATATCCGATGAGAGTTATTCGCCCACTCACAGCGCCGTAGATCATGCAGTCACAAATCCGACATTGCTGAATACATTAACTGGTAATAATTCAAATATGCTGAGCACTCCTCAAAGGAATGCTCATCGCACGCCGCGTCATGCCAGCACGCCATGTAGACTGCAATATCAGGATTACTTGAATCTATCGAAGAATCGTACGGAAGCGCGTCCAAGTCCGGAGCGTCTCGATGCCCAGATACGTCAAATCATGCAATCCCGGGACAATGAGATGCAGGAGCTGATGGAACAGATGAAGAACATGACGACGCAGATAAAAACGTTAAATGAGAAAGTGGATACTTTGACGAAGGAGGTTGTGGAATCACGTAAAGAGAATCAGAAACAACAGCAGCAGCAGCAGCGCGTACAACAGCAACAGAACGTCAATCCTGCCGTCGAACCCGACGATTTCTACGTCCTTGACGACGACGAGTACGCCGATTTGAGCTACCAGAATCAACCAACCGGACCGGCATCTTCGATCTCCGGTAACATATTCGCATCCCAGCACGCTCGGCATCCTTATTCGTCGCTGGTATATCCTTCCGCGGCGGCCGCCGCCGCCTTCCAAGGCTATTATCAGGGTGGAATACCATTTACTGATCCAAATGCTCAAGCGGCTATATCATCCCTGTATCCGCATACTGTTTATCCAATGCCAGTACTGTATCCTAATCAATCAAAAGTGCCAGATAATCCGTTGCAGCAGGGTCTTTTCCAACCGACGCTTTCCTCGCAATTGCCCGATCTCATGCCGGCAGCAGCGGCGACGAATCCGTCATTGCAGATACCGCTGCAACAGAAAATCGAGACACCGCGGACGAAACCTGAGACGATGATGACAACAACAACCGCGACGATCATCAAAGACGCACCAGTAAACAAGGCGCCGCCCGTAAACGTGGTTATCACGACATCCGATACATTACCGACCACAGTGCCGTCTATTCAACCGACCTTGAGCGTCACCATACCACCGCAGTATCGACTGGGAGGAGGAGCGGTTGTGACTTTCTCTACACCTATAACGACAGCGACAATAGCTACAGCATCAACGACAATGACGACGAAATCGTCATCGTCATCGAACGCACCACATTGTTACCAGATTGCCATGCCTTCGCAGGCCACTATACCGACCACTGTCAATTTACCGCCGACTACTATCTACGTAACACCGGCTAACATCAACGTATCACCAATCTACGCCAATTTTACAACGCCCAATACGCCGTCTACGATCACGATCACCCATACAGCTCCCAGCAATACTCTGTTAAATGCTCAGAATAATGCTACTAATATTAAGACACTTGATAAAGCAGATAATATCGTCAAGCCTATCTACGAACCGATTGAATCGCCAAACACCTCCACGGAAATATGCGAACAGGAGCATGATCCGATACCAGATTTCGTGCCGGTCATACCTTTGCCCGCAAAGGTGAAAGTTACCACTGGTGAAGAAGACGAGGATACTCTGTATTGCAACCGAGGTAAGCTGTTCCGTTTTGTCGATAAAGAATGGAAGGAGCGCGGCGTCGGTTATGTGAAACTGCTACGTAACATGGAGGGTAAGGTACGCTTGCTGATGCGTCGCGATCAAACGCTAAAGATCTGTGCGAATCACATGCTGAGACCAGATATGGAATTGACCCCCATGGCAAACAACAACAAGGCTTTATTTTGGGTCGCTAACGACTTTGCCGACGAGGAAGTGAAACTGGAAAAATTTTGCATTAGGTTCAAGACCACTGAGGATGCGATGGCGTTCAAGGAGGCCTTTGATCAGGCAAGACTCAGTCTAATCGAAACATCTTCGGAAAAGACCGTTGATAAAACTTCCACTCCTTCCAGTGATACGTCCAAGATTCAGAAAGCACAGCCGACGCAACAAGCCAAGATAAGTTCGACAACAGAAGCAGCTTTATCGGACAAATCGAAACTGGGCACGACGACGCTAGGAGGATTTTCTTTCAGTTCAAAACCTATCATCCAAGAGGTTAAAGATGTCGAGGCGAATGATTCTAAGAAAACCGAAGAAACGCCAAAAGTCAGTCCATTCAGCGGATTTACGTTCAAATCGCAGGGTAAATTTGAAGCTGCGAAAACTACAACGACCACCGCAACGAGTGGCTCCACGCAATCGGCAAAATTTCTTTTCTCCTCGACTGCGATTTCGCAGCCGTCTGATTTAAGTGTAACGCCGAATATATCACCGATATTTACCTCATCTGCGACATCCGCTCAAAATTCCACAGGATTGAGAAGACCTCGTTTGCCGCCACCCGGTGCTATAAAACCGGGATTCAATGAGGAAACACAGCCGCAGTCTGAAAGCGAATGGAAGTTATTCAATGGAACAGCAAATCTTCAATGTCAATACAGCAGCAACACCAACGCTAAGTGGAAAAATAAAGGTACAGGACTGATAATGCTATTATTGGACACGAAATCCGGTAAGATTCGCTTGCTACTGACGGACGATAAAAGCTCCATGGCTTATGGTCACGGAATACCTCTGGACATGGCGTTTACGTATAAGAGCGGCGCTACAGTTGTCAATTGGACCGTTCCGGGAGACGCCAAGGAACCCGGTAAAACTTGGTCATTACATGCCGCGACCTTCAATACTTCGGAATTAGCTTCACAGTTCTACAATGTCGTATCGAGCTGCCAGCAGAAACTAGCCAAGGGCTGCAGCCCAAGTGAAGTCGCAAAAGAGCTTGGAAAGAACGCGTCATCAAGCGATAACAAGGGTCAAAACGCACAGGCGAAATCTCAACCCCCACCGTTGTCGGAACTATTCAAGCCACCAATCGGTTCCTGGGAATGCAGCGGCTGTTACACTAGGAACAACGCTACAGATGTGAAATGCGTGGCTTGCGAGGCTCTGTCGCCGTCTTTGACGGTGAGTCATCAGAGCAGCTCCGTCGTCGCTAACAACAAACCTATCGATTCCGATAAACCGCCGTTGTCGGAGTTGTTCAAGTCGCCCGCCGGTTCCTGGTCTTGTCCGGGCTGCTATGTTGTCAATTCCAGCACAAACATCTATTGCGTCGCCTGTGACAAGCCTAAGGATCCGTCACAACCGCCCAAACCACAGCAGACTAACTTCTTCCAACTGTCCTCTTCCATCGCATCGCCGACGATGACCACGTTTTCTTTCGGCATTCCTAAGGACACCACCAAGGAAACTGCCAGTACAGGTTTTAGTTTCCGGATGCCGAACACAGAGGATAAAAGCGCTGATAGTGCGAAAACAGCTTCATCTAAATCCGAAAAGACTACCAACTTCGTATTTGGTATCCCGGTGAAAACTACCGCTAACTCGGGCGACTCACCGTTTACTTTTGGTTCTCCCACCAAGTCGTTCGGTTTTAATTTTGCAGCCAAGTCACCGGCTAAATCACCTGGCGGTGGCGGCGGCGAGACCAGCGAAGATGAAGTGGTGGAAAGTGAAGACGTTCACTTCTCACCAGTTATACCATTGCCGGACAAGATCGAGGTGAAGACTGGCGAAGAGAATGAGGAAGTGCTCTATAATCATCGGACGAAGCTGTTTAGATTCGACACCGCGTTGAAGGAGTGGAAAGAACGTGGATTGGGTGATATCAAGTTGCTGCGCCACAGGGAGACTGACAAGTTGCGGTTGCTCATGCGACGAGAGCACGTGTTGAAGCTGTGTTTAAATCATCTTTTGTCCGATGAGATAGAGTTCACACGGAAGGACGAAAAAACATGGATGTGGGCCGCGGCGGATTATAGCGACGGCGAAATCGAGCATATGAAGTTGGCCTGCCGCTTCAAGACATCCGAGATCGCGACGGATTTCAAGAAAGCAATTGATGACGCCAGAGAGAATGTTATTAGTAACGAGACAATGAACAAATCTGCAACAACAAAAACACCGATACAGACGAACTGTTCACCGGTCGAGGAAGTCGAAATCATCTACGAGACGAAAGTCACTTCGGAAGAGAAGGCGGCTGCCTTAAAATTGCAGTTACCGGAGAACTTCTACGCTTATAAACGAAAGGAAGATTGTCCCGGTTGCATAGGCTGTAGAAAACCGAGCATAGTATTATACCCGGATATCGCTGCACAAGACTCAACGAAATGGAAGCCCATACCGGAAGAGAAAGCGATAAATTTATCGAAATTCGCTTTGAACGTGAATACGTCGAACGATCCTAAAAATATTGATACTACTCAGAACGTAACGCAGCCTACGTCTGTGAAAAATGGATTCTCTTTCACGACGCTTACTCCAACGACGTTCGTGTCATCTTCGGCCACATCGAGCATTTTCGACAGTTCCACGATGAGCTTTGGCATTGGCGATTTGAAGTCATTCAACGATAAGAAAACTACAACTTTCTCGTTTGGCATGAACCCGCAGTTCAACAGCAACGAAACGACGACGAATACCTCGCTTGAGAATATCAAGATCTGTAGTCCTTCTAATGCTGAAACCGCGCAAACAACTACTTCTAATACAGTTAACACAACTGTACAATCGATATTTAGCCAACCGACATCGACCGCGTCCATATTTAAAACGTCTACTTTCTCCTTTGATGCTGGCAAGAATATTTTCGGCGGCACCTCCATGACCACGAACGCGACTTTGCCGAAAACATCTATGTTTGGAGGGAACAACGATGGCAACTCCTTCAACACCATGAAGACAACTTCTACTGCCACCATTACGACAAATTCTATTTCGAAAACACTCTCGTCGACCATAACTACTACCATGGGAACTAGTTCTTCGTTTTCGTTTGGCTTGGCAGTCGCGCAACCAACTTCCAAGGCCAACGACACTATCGTCGCCACGTCAACAGTTATATCTAATCAGTCAAATAACTCAATGTTTAACACTAGCGTTACGCCCTTTTCCAAAATGACATTCGGTGCTTCGCCATTCGATAATTCTACGACGACGACAAACATTTTCAGTACTATACCGGCAACGACGACGATAAGCATCTTCAGTACGGCACCGGCAATGACAACGACAAACATCTTCAGTACGGCGCCGCCAACGACGCTGACAAACATCTTCAGTACGACATCGACAACGACGAACATCTTTGGCGCGACAACCATAACGACGACGTCGAACGTTTTCGGAGCGAAATCGCCAGACAATGTCCAGAAGAATGAGGACAACCCCAATTTTTTTTCGACGAACGACGTATCGTTCACGGCACTCGCTTCGGTGGCGGTGCAACCAGAAGCCTTCAAAGTTGGTACGTCACAAAATCACGCAAACAAGACTATTTATTAACTATTGCTATTCAATTAGGTCCGATATTCAGATTAATAAAGTAATTAAAATTGTTTGTTAATGAAAACTTCTTCCTTCTATTTCATTAAAAATGTTATTGATATTATTTTTATTCTCTTTATATTCTCGATTGTATGAAATTTGTTATAATAAAATTTCGAACTGGTATTTCTTTCAGATCCCAACTTTACATTTGCCGGTGCGGGATCAACAGTGTTTGGTTCGAAATCTGTCGCATCATCATCACTGAATAGTTCGGTAACTATTCAGAACAAATCGCATGAAGATTCCGTACAAAAGGAGGATAATGAAGAGGACGATGGTGAAGTGGATAATGAACAGGAGCACGATCCTCAGTTTGAACCCATTATACCTTTACCAGATGCCATTGAAGTTCGAACCGGAGAAGAAGATGAAGAGAAAGGTATGTGGCCTTAAACATATACTTTTTAAATAATATTATATATATTATTTGAAAAATTTCATATTGATGAAATAATTATCAAGCCGTCTGGTTTATCGAATATATTATTATCGAGTCAAAATTATTTGTAATTTGTATTATATATATACGTTTTTACGTTATTATTTTTTCTTTTATTTAATATGGAAAATTATTTAGTTTATCTAAAAAATAAATACGTTAATTATAGGGGCAAACTTGATAATCAACTAGTAATATATCAACTAATAATAATATGGTAATAAAACCATATTTGCGTAAAAGTGTTATTCACGACAAGATTGAAATATCGTTTATTTCCGAGATATACATATATTATTTGAATTCTGTTTGGTTTGCAGTGTTCGGCCATAGAGCTAAGTTATACAGATACGATAACGCTACGAAGGAGTGGAAGGAGCGCGGTGTCGGTGAGATGAAGATTCTGTATCACGCGGGTCACGGCAGCTATCGCTTATTGCTACGCCGCGAGCAAGTTCATAAGATCGTTTGCAACTTCCTTCTCACCCCCGATGTAGAGTTCCGTCCACTCTCCACATCGGACCAGGCTTGGATGTGGGCCGGCATTAATTATATTGAGCAGGAAGCCTGTGCCGAGCAATTAGCGATTAAATTTAAATCATCCGATGTGGCCCGTCAGTTTAAGGCGCACATCGATAAGATTCAACAAGAATTGCGGGAAAAGAAAAATATTCAAGGTAATAATTATAATAATCTATGATCTTTCTATTATACGTTAAATGCTTTTAATTGTCTCTTAATATTTCCTTTGAACATGATCGTTTCCTTTTCAATGAGATGTATATATGCTTTTTATTTAAATTTAATGTGTATATGTTTTAAAAATACTTGTATAAATTTACATAAACACATGGCTTCATTAATGCTGATTTATATCTGCATAGATGAGAGATGCGTCGGCGGAGTGGAGGAGAGCGAAGAACGTGATCAAAGTAACGACGTGAATGAGGAGGAAGATGAAGAGGAAGATGACGAAAATGAAGAGGAAGACGATGAAGATGATCAGGAAATGATTCCCATTATTGAGAAACGTGCCACTGTATTCGCGAGATGGCCGAACGAAACTGAATGGGAAACCGTAGGCTTGGGAAATCTGGCGATCCATTACGATTCCGAGATCTACGCGGAAAGAATCGCGCTGAAGCTCGACGACTCGGAGGAATATGCCAGTAACACTATCATCAGCATGGATTCAGTGATGCAGGTAATAATCGTATTTATAAACGAATAATATGTTGCAAGTCTGATTTTTCTTTTGCTCATCTTATACGAAAAAGTCATAACGTGCAGCAATCGATTTGAACAATGTCATTATGTTTCTAAGCTATAATACGAATAAGTTTCTTTCTTTTTCTCCAGTGACAGATAATAGAGAAAAAGAGAGATTTAAAATATTTTTACATTGAAAATAAACGCGATTTATAAGTAACTTTTTCGAAAAAATATGTGAGCTCTATTTGCTTTAATTTATATGATGAGGATTTTTATATTTTGTATTTTTCTGGATTTGAATGCATTGTTTTAATATAAATTAACTATCAACAATATTATTAATATATTTTTTTTTGCAAAATATATATTATCATATCTTTTTACTTATTATTCTTGCATTATCAAGGTGGAAGGTAAAGAATGTATTTGGAGTGGGATCGATTTCGCTTTAGAGCCTCCAGTGAGAAGAGTTCTGAAAGCAATCTTTTCATCGGCGCAAGCAGCGCAAGAGATGCATACGTTTTTCGAAGATGTAAGTAAAGCTTGACAAAAAGATTTACCCATATACATTATGTTAAATGCATATGTTAAGATTGAAAATGTATGGAAAATGCAAGATGATGTACTACTTTGCAGGGAGTGGATAGCGCGAAACAAGTCGGTGTTGTCGAGTATCAAGAAGAAGACTTAGGATCTTGAGCTAATATAAGTAGTTGATAATTGACACGCTGTTATTATACATACTTCACACTATCTTCCTATTATAGTATAAAAGTAAACGTACTGTTTCTTCGTCGTTCCTCTTAAGTTATAACAATAAGTAAGGAAAAACACACATGTGCTAGAGTTTTACATGTAGCTTCTTCTTTTTCTTTTTTTTCTTTTTAGAATCAAGACATGGTTTGACAAGTACAATAATTATCTGTATATGAATGTGAAGAAGTACAAGTTCCCGTAGTAATAATTTATGTGTGCTATGAAAAAAAATTTTATTTATAATATAGAAAATAGAAAAGATTAAACATCACATTTAATTTGTTTATTTTTTGTATTAATCTATGAGTCATCTTTTTTTGTGCTGTTTTTTTTTTTTTTAATGAAATGTGCCAAAACCTAACACTTTCGTAATGAAAACATTTAATTATATTGAACTATTAAAACTGTGTCAGTAACTATATCAAAATATATATTTTTAAATAATCTCTGAAAATTGTATTGGCTACAAATACATATTGAATGCTCACAGTAAGATAATAGCACACTGATTATTTTTTACTAATTGATTATAATGATCACGTTAAGTCGCAAAAATCTCAATGTTTATATTTGATTAGATTACAAAATCATTGCATCACTAAAATTAATGATTATTGTAAATATTAAGATCTTATGGTTATATCTAGTAATAAGATGTAATATCTTTTTTGGACTGAAATAGAAATTATCGAATAAAGGACATTACTAATATAGTTAATAATATATAACACATGCAATGTAAAATATTTCATTAAAGTATTTCTTCTAAAAACTCTGTATTTGTTTATCAGGTAAGTAATGTGTATTATTCTCACAATTACAAACTTATTAAGTATACATATTGGAGAGAGATAAAACTGCTGTAAGATTTTGATGAAATAAATCCATATATCATTATCTATTACTAAAAAAGTTTGTAATAACAAAAACTATGTAATAAAAGAAGCCATTTGTAGTGAAATATATATATATTTCAATAGTCGACAAAATTGTATAATTTCATAAAATGTTTAATATTCAAAGAAAAAAATGTGATGATCACAAAGTCTTATAGTTGCACTTCTTTTATAAGTATTTTATATATATATATATTAAACTGTTAAGAGATAGAAGAAAATAGATAAGCATAGCAAAAAAGAGCTGCAAAACATTTTAGCAGCTATTTAATCATCATTATATACAAAATGTCTCTAATTATAATACAATGGAAAAAAGGCAATACTTCGTATTTAAAAAAATCAAGTAAAAAAGAATATTAGATAAATCATTTTCGTTAAATTGCATGGTTTTGGAGAATAATTTTCGATATGAAAATAGCATATATATAAAACTGTACCTTTGACTGCATTATAATTTATTGAACATCCTATGATTACACGCGTACAAAATACGTATGCATGTTTAAGAGATCGTATATGATAAGAAAGTGAGAGAAGTGTAGACGCTAAAATTACACGGCAATCCGCCCCCCTCCTGATCCATCCATGATGTAGCACATATACTTCGATAAACCAACTGATTACTAATTACACAGACGGACTTTGACCCTGTCACAAGTGAATATATCATCGTTTTCATCAGATTCCAGCTAGAACAGCTCCAAGTGTCTCGCCAACCTGGTGGTACTGCGTCCTAGAAATCTGTAGAAAAGAGGAAGTGTCTTGTCACGATGTCCGTCGTAACGAAAGGTATATATATATATATATGTGAATCGCATGCGAGAAAAAATATTTTTTATTTTATTTTATAATATATATTATTGATGGCATGAAAGAGTCTTCTCGCAGACAATCGCGAGGTTTAAATATGCGTAATTTAAAAATAGAACTATCTTTTACAATCGTGTTTTGTTAACACTTTGAGTTTTTAAAAATAAGTGAATAATCATGTTTTAGGTAGAGTATATTTGTTTTAGGTAGAATAAGTCTATTTTAATTGCACTCCTTAATTTTTTAAAAAGAAAACTAAATAAGATATATATGTAAACTGTTTTGCTATCTTGTTAATTCATAGGATATTGAAATTTTTTATAGGTGTTTTTATTGTTGCTGCAAAGCGCACCCCATTTGGTACAATGGGTGGCATGTTTGTGAATAAAAGTGCAACTGATTTGTCAATTGTTGCATCAACCGCTGCAATTCAAGCAGCAAATCTAAAACCAGAGAAGATAGACAGTGTTATATTTGGACATGTCTTGGTAGTAAGTGTTGTGCACGTTACAACAATTGACAATTATGAATTCTTTTGCAATTCTTATGAATTGACATACCTCTAACTTTTATTTCATAGTCATCATCTTCCGATGGAGGTTTCCTAGCAAGGCATGTTTTATTGAAATCAGGAATTCCATTACAAAGACCAGCATTTGGTGTAAATAGATTATGTGGTTCTGGTTTTCAATCAATTGTTAATGGAGCTCAGGTTGGTTGATTATATAATTTTTAAAAAATATTTAATTTGTAAAAATAGAAGAATATTAGTACAATATAAAATTTTACGTTTTAAATTTTACGAAATTAATGTTATTACAGCAGCATATAATTTTTTGCAGAACATTTTAACAGGAGAATCAAAAATTGTCTTAACGGGTGGTGCAGAAAATATGAGCCAAGCTCCTTTCGTTGTGAGAAACGTTCGTTATGGAACTGTTTTGGGTCAGAAATTTGATTTTGAAGACTCACTCTGGCTTGGATTACTCGATACCTATTGCAATTTGCCAATGGGTATGACTGCGGAGAAACTCGGTGCTCAATACAATTTAAAGAGGGAAGAGGTTGATCAGTTTGCCTTGAGCAGTCAGCAGCGCTGGAAAGCTGGTAAAGATCAATATAGTATTCTGTTTAATATAAAATTTTATTTATTGTACTTACCAAAGAGTAAATAAATGAAAATAGAATAGAATCTCTAATTCATTATTAAATAAGTTTTTCTTAAATAAATTTTAAAAAGTTCTACAGTTTCTCCAACTTAAGGGTGTCTAATAGAAAAAAAATGAACATATTACAGCCAACGATGCGGGTCGTTTTAATGAAGAAATAGCGCCTGTGCAAGTGAAAATTAAGAAACAGGATACAGTTGTCAATGTGGACGAACATCCGCGTCCGCAAACGACAATAGAAAGTCTTACTAAACTAAAACCAGTTTTCCAAAAAGATGGATTAGTCACAGCTGGTTCTGCATCGGTATGCTGCATTTTCTTTTAATTCTTTTAATATGTAAAGCAATATTTGTGTATACTATAATAAACTATATTGTCTTTCAAATTTTAATTAATTTAATTATATTCTCATTTTTCTTTAGGGTATCTGCGACGGTGCTGGCGTTGTTATTTTAGCAAGCGAAGAAGCTGTCAAGACAGAAGGCTTAAAACCATTGGCGCGTTTGGTTGGATATAGCATTGTTGGCGTAGAACCAAGTATAATGGGAATTGGTCCTGCACCAGCAATCAAGAACTTGCTTAAACTTACAGGCAAAACACTCGATGACATAGAATTGGTTGAGGTAAGATTTTTAATTTTAATTTTATCTCATTAAATAATATTTATAACATGAAAGTGCAAAAATAAATAACGTGAAAAATAATGAATAATATAATACCTCATATAATACCTCATATTTACCTTTCCTGTGCATTAATTACGTCATTTTCTTCAGATCAATGAGGCATTTGGAGCACAGACTTTGGCCTGTGCAAAAGATCTTAATCTCGATTTGAATAAATTGAACGTGGACGGTGGTGCTATTGCCGTGGGACATCCATTGGCGGCTTCGGGTAGCAGGATCACCGCTCATTTGGTGCACGAACTTAGGTACATTCGTAAGCTATATACATTTTTGTTAATATGAGTATTTCTTATCTGTATTTTTTTTTTGCAGAAGGCGAAAGGCCGGAAAGTTTGCTATCGGTTCCGCTTGTATTGGCGGCGGTCAAGGCATTGCTGTGATGGTAGAAGCGCTATAATCAACTGAAAAGGCTGATCTACTAAATTTCTTCGACGTTTAATAACGTTAAACGGAATAAATACCGCGAAATAATAAAAAAAAGTAATACGCAGGAAAATTTATCAATGCTAAACAAACAAGATTAATAATTTTTTATCGTTTACTGTGATGATAATAATGATTTATAATTATATACATAGACAGATCATAAAAAATATTTTTTATATACAAGACTTTTACATATTTTTATACATACAGAGTGATATAATGTTAAATAAAATTGAGATATTAATTATTCTTTGGAACTCGTGTAATTTCAAGGAAACATAATGTAGCTACAAAATTTAATGTCAATGATGAATTCATCATTAGATAGTAGAACCATGAAGTACTGTAAAAATCGAATAGGACATCCGTAATATCTAAAATACATGAAAATTATTAATTTTATTATAAACAATTAAAAATGTTAATTATTTAAAAATTAAAGCAATCTCAAAATTAGGTTTGTATAACATATTTAAAATCAATCTAAAAAAATTTTGATGTATTTGTATTTTACTATTAAGATATTAATTTCTGAATCATGCAATTGAAGATTAATTGACGTTTATGCTTTACCAGATTTAAAAAAAAAAAGAATGTAGTTTTAATATGATTAGTGAACTTTTTTGAAAGAATGAATATTATTTTAAATATCTTACGAAAATCTTTAACAAACCGCGAACCTCTACGAAAGTATCCAATGACAATAACATAATATTGCCGGCGCTCAAAGTAAATGGACGATGAGCCCTCATCATTATGATTTGCAGGCTGCGTTTAAATTCTTCAGTATTGGAGAACCAGTTGCTCGAATACGCGGCCGTTACTATACGTGTACTCTAAAAATCATGTGTGTTTCTTTTGCACTTAATCGCGAAAATCGGTTTAGATACTCACATGGAGATGTAGCTCATTACCGTGCCAGCAGAAAATGAATATCTGATATGTCATGCAACACATGTATGTAACCAAGCCGATTAACACTGCTGGGATATAAACTTTCATCTGTAGCACAACGGATCACATTGAGACTGAGCATATGCAGGCCAATCAAAACAAATTAGATCTACCTGTGATACGTTGAAAGCAATCAGGCAAATGATAATACAATTTGAGAGAAATTGAAAAAAGATAATGGTACTAAAAATGTCTTGAATCTCCCTCGTGAAACTGCAAATAAAAAGAAACTGTAATTAATTATTTGGAAGAAAGTTCAATTGCCCAAACGAATAATTAATTTAATTGATTCTCTTATTTTTGATAATTAGGGTAAAATAAATTTACAGTCATTGAATTTGTAATAAATTATCCGATCTTAATATAAAATATTCTGCATACAATAGTCACACAATAATTACACAACATAAATCATAATTTTTGAATCTCTTTTGTTGTGCATATCTCATTACACAATTTAATATAATTTCGAAAATTTATATATCCATACGTTAAATTTTATAATGATATTCTTCCATTTCTTTTTAAATATTTTTTAACTTACAGGAATATCATATTGTTATGGATAATGCATCGTTTAAGTTGCTGATAAGACAAGACTTCCCCTTCGGCGAGAAACAATGATTTGTCCTTTTTCTGCATGCTTTTTTTCTTATCTATCGAGATAATATTTCGCTCTAAGATTGCCAATTGACAGCAAGCGACCGTGATTAAACCCGTGACCAGCGTGTCCAATGCTACATTATGGAAGCAAGCGATTATGATTGCGATGCCCTGATGTCCTGCGGTAATCTCAAATGCTGGCGTTCTTGTTACATTATAAGGATACCATCCTTCCATGGGCAACTGACGTGAACGACCGGCAATCAGATCGGTGATTGGAGTGATACCCCAGCAGAAGACTGCTATCGCGCCAAAGCTCTGATAGACCGCGTGGTGAAAAATACCTTTCCACGTATAGCTCATGAGCAGGTCCTGATTCTTTTTATCGTGGCGACTGAATGCGGGACTGTTGGCTATGTCCAGGAGAGCCCGTATCCGTTTTTGACGACAAAGAAGAATAATCACCTAAAGATATTATAAATCAATAGAAATTAAATAAAGAATTTAAAAACGTTTATAAACATTTTTATAAATATTACTAACAAAATGTATTATAATTACACTAATAAAATTATAAGTTACAAGCACAAGAATATTTGTATGATGGGAGAATGTTAATTCGTAAAAATTAATACAAAGAAATGAATACATTTAAAAAATTTTATCACCATCATTTGAAAGATTTTATCACATATATAAGATATTAGAAAGAATACAAAAAAAAGGTGTGCGATGGCCGGGAATCGAACCCGGATCAACTGCTTGGAAGGCAACTATGCTAACCATTACACCACCATCGCACCTTGATTTCGTTCTAAATTTAGTACTAGATATGCATTTAAAATCGATTAAAATAATTAGTTTTTAAATATAGAAAAATTCGAAAATTGTAATTCACAATTATTATCACTTAATAACGTAAACATACAAAAAAAAACTATGAAAAAAGATATTTTGTATATATAATCAAGATGTAATTAAGACTGAATGAAGAATGAATGAAAGTACATCATATTTAAGATAATGTAAATAAAAAAATACAAAGATTATATTATTTCTCTTACTTATTGTTCTAAAAATTGTTTATGTATAAATCATATATATAAATATACATAATTATTGAATGCCTACATGCCTATTTCTCTCATATTTTCTCGAGCAAATTAATAACGTAATCTAATTGTTTAAAAACGCTTTACACACACACTTTTTCTGAAAAAAAAAAACAACGCGCACAAAAATTATCCTTTTAATTATTTCTTTCTTGTATAAACGGATAAAGATGATATAAGAGAAAAAGAGCATAGATTTATTACTGACAATAAGTCTATGTGTATATGTATATGTGATTGAGTCTTTTATCGTTTTATATGCTTTCTATTAGACATGAAAATCATAATTAAAGATAATTGCATTGACCTTGGAAGCGTGAATGGAATTCGTCATCATTATGGTCGCAAATGCAATGATTTTCGACATATCTCCCCAGTTGGCGATTACATTTGCTATCTCGGCGGCAAGCAATATACCCAAAAGGAAAATAAAGCTACAGACGGTATAGAGCAGATATAAAATCCGGTATTTGCTCGCATGTGGTGGCCAGGTTCCCAAAAAGTAGATGATTGATAGGCTCACCGTCAAGTGAAAATTCGGCTCGATTGTTCTTCGTTCTTTTGTCATTTTCCAATTGAACAACAGCAAGTCATGAATACCTACAGTTTAATTTGATGGCAATTATTGTGTTTTTTTACTAATATTTTACGAACATAAATTTACTCTCTATATATAGTTTTTTTTATATTTCTTATATATACACGCAATCACTATTGCTTTAATCGTTAATTTAATTTAATGTAATTTTATTAATTTTATTTTCTCATATTGAATCATTTCAGTCAAAACTTGTGACATTTTGACAGGAATTCCGTGTCCAGATATTAATTTTGTTTTTAAATTACAAATATTTTATAATTTACAAATTAATTAAAAGTAAAATATTAATTGCTTAAAAAATCGTGCTTGTGTAATTTATATTTGTGTAATCTTATGTTACGTATTTTTTACGTTTAAGAAAATCGCTTTAACGTTTGTAATAAGTCACTGAGACAAAGAGGTACAATATACGATAGTCAATCGAAAATCCATTGTACCTTCGAATCAATCAAACTGGGAAGCTCTTGTAATAGTAGACGGAATCCTCTAATTTGAGAGAAACAATCAAAATCCTCTAATCTGAAATTCCATGAAATCTTCATGATACAAATTATAGTGTGATGTAACGCTGGCTTTATAATCAATCGCGACGCTCCACTTTCATCATGCACGCATACTATTTGTAAATTGTAAGGCTTATCAGGATTATTACACGCAATTACGAAAGCAATTTATCTGTATGTATAGCAATACAAAGTCCCTTTGTAATTTTACAGAATAAGACAATGCGAAGCAAACAGTATTTCCTCGTGGTGATCTATTGTGCGATATTGTGACAGTTATGTGATGTTGAGACAAGTTGATACCAATAATAATATAGTTATTTTTATATTATCGAGAAACTTTTAAATAAGTAAAGCACAAATCTAATAAATATAAATTTTTCTTCAAATCAAAATTTCAAAAATTTGTTTTTAATATTTTTTGTAAAATAAATTGCTTTTATATACAAAATATAAATGGAACAATATTAACGCGTGAATGTATTCGGGTTTTCCTACGGAAAAATCAGTTTTTTATCATTCTAGATACAAACATAACAATTCTAGATATAATAAACAATGTTAAAAATATTATAAGATAAAATATAATATAAATTATTATACTTTACATCAACAATTAAGCGCGTATCTTCTAGATACTTTTATAAAGATTATCTCAAGCCGCATAGTCATAATTCATGTAGTGAGGGACCAAGAGTGGTGGCTACTCAGACTCAGCATTCAACACAGCTCGTTGTCAGTATAAAAGCAAATGTCGAAGTGAATTGTCGCGTGACCAAGAATCTCGATATTTGTAGCAGGTAAACTCGAGGCGAGTTGCTTCAGTTACCTGTCACTTTGCAAACTTATCGCAATTTAACTCCTTATACTTACACTATACCGGTTTTTCCGCTGTCGATCCGCTGCATAAAGCTGTTGCATAAAACTTTATGTAATTTTGTATACGTTCTGAAAAATGGCATCGCTATCGTCGATCATGTTGAGCAAAGATGTCCCTGATATCGAAGTAAGTACGCATTTTCGACGTGAATAATGATGATATAAGATTAAGTCATTTCCTAATGATTTCTAATTATTTCTAAAATTTAAAATTTCCCAAAAGACGAGAGAGAATCAGGGACTCGGGAAAATCGGGAAGATATCTGAAACTCTGAATGATTAGAATGTTATCAGACCAATGTCGAAACCGTTTTCTTCTGGGCCCCAGGAAAACAATTCAGCTTTAAAAAAATTTTTTTTTTCTGCAGATAAATTATGTAATTTTTCTTATTCTTATTTTTTATATTCATGGATATTATCAATTAGAATGTATAATTTTCTATTTTGTTCTAAAATTTTTTTCTAAATTCTAATTTTTATTTTCTTTCAGCTTATCTTCTTTCTTTATTTTTATGTACTTTTCTTTTATATATCTTTTTGTACTTACAGAGAGTAATTACAAAAATCTTTTATGTATCTTTATAAATATATCATTATTTTATAATAATTATTTTTATCTCTCAAATAAAGATATCTTTCAAACAACTTTTATTTATTTCTTGAAATAGAACTATACTATATTGACGGAAATTATAATAACACGTTTTTGGTATCTTGTTTCTATGATTGACTAAGGGCAAATTATATTTTTTAGAATATACTGAGCATCAATCCAAAGTCCAAATATCATACAAATATCCTGCCGTCGGCGTTGACCAAGCAGAACAAGCAGCACTGGAAAAGAAACATTCACGAGAAATGTGATGTAAGTTGTTTAAATTGAATCAATTACTTTGATAAACTTGATAGACAATTATTCTCGAAGCTTGATTTAAATAAAACGGTAAATTATACATATATATGTATATATACAATTTATATTATACATTATATCGTTATATTCTATGATTCATATCGTGGAATATAATTATATAAAATATATGTATATTAATACTTTCTGTATATTCCAATAAAATAATTTTAAAAATATCTAGATTAGATAAAAAAATTTCCACTGGTAAGATTACAATCTGTCGTTATACATTTTCTTATATTGTTAACAACTATTGTGTAATTACATTAGATTCTCATTGTACTCTTTAATTATACCGAATAATTTTTACGTAGTAGAAAATATAAAGTAGTAAAAAATAAATTAAACAGATTACATAAAAATTAATTTAATAAAATAGCTGAATAATATCTAAATCAAATTATATTTTTTTATCTTGATCAAGAACAAGAAAGCGTTTATTGAATATATACAGGCATTTTATAAAGAGGATTAATTGATAAAATTAATATCAATTACAACATGTAATTTTTAACAATCTATCCTGTAAGATATACCTATATTTTTATGATTTTTTAAAATTTGTGAAATATGTTGCAAAGAATATTTCATTGATCTTTTTATCTCAATTTTTCTTTTTTTCTCGATTTCTTTATCTAGATTTTTCTTTTCTCTCTCTCAGAGTTGCGTGTCTTTGACAAAGAATTTCGACGATATCAAGCATACTACTTTGAGCGAGCGCGGAGCATTGAGGGAAGCTGCGCGTTGTTTGAAGTGCGCTGATGCACCTTGTCAAAAATCTTGCCCTACGCAATTAGATATCAAGTCTTTCATTACTTCCATCTCCAACAAGAATTACTATGGTGCGGCCAAAGCAATCCTGTCGGACAATCCTCTTGGACTTACCTGCGGCATGGTTTGCCCGACAAGCGACCTTTGCGTGGGCGGATGCAACCTTTATGCAACCGAGGAAGGACCCATCAACATCGGCGGTCTTCAACAATTTGCAATGGATGTATGCAGTATTATTTAGTAGCAATATTTAATTTGATAACTTATGATGTAACATAGCAATGAAACGTGGAAATAATGTAATAATGCTCTTATAACATTTTAATTAAAATAATTAAATATTTTGTATTTTGCATATAAAATTTCTCGATTTTCAAGTTCTAAATTCTGCGAAATTATTTTGTACTATGGAAATTTGATTTAATATTTTTTAAATTTTTGACTTAAGATATACATATAATAATAGAATCTATGTATCATATATTACTTAATTTTTTATATGTATTTTAAATAATATATAATTAGCTTTGTGTATGTGAAATGGTTAAATAATGGATGTAATTTGTAGCTTATACGTTCATACATTTTTTCAGGTTTTCAAGCAGATGAATATTCCTCAAATTAGAATACCTGATCAAACAGTACCTCATGCAAACACGAAGATCGCCCTGCTCGGATGTGGACCAGCTTCTCTCTCATGCGCGACGTTTCTCGCCCGATTCGGTTATGACGATATTACGATCTTTGAGAAAGAAAAGTATATGGGCGGATTAAGTTCCTCCGAAATACCGCAATATAGACTTCCGTATGACGTTGTCAATTTCGAAGTGGATCTCGTTAGGGATCTAGGAGTAAAGATCGAATTAGGAAGATCGCTATCCGAAGATGATTTGACGATACAAGTAAAATTAATTTAAAAGTTTATTCTCAGAGAGATTTGTTATCTATCATTTTTAAATTATAACTAAATTTAAAAATGTTTTAGACTCTTCAAGATGCCGGATATAAAGCAATTTTTTTAGGAATCGGATTACCTGAACCGAAGAATATACCGATCTTCGAAAATCTCACGCTGGAAATGGGCTTTTTCACCTCGAAGAGCTTCCTGCCCACCGTCGCGAAAGGTAGCAAGCCGGGAATGTGCGCTTGCAAGAGCAACCAGGAACTTCCGTCTCTTCACGGCAACGTAATTGTCCTCGGTGCGGGAGATACCGCTTTCGATTGCGCCACTTCCGCTCTCCGGTGTGGAGCCCGAAAGGTCTTTGTCGTCTTTCGGAAAGGCTTCACCAATGTACGAGCTGTTCCAGAGGAGGTAATCGCCTACTATTTAAATTTTAATCTGAAAATGCAAAGATTGTAATTTAAACATTTTTATTTTTTAAGAATTTAAACTTTAGAACACACAAATATTTAGTAGCAAAATTTGAGAGTTTAAAATTGTTCTCAGATGGATCTGGCAAAGGAAGAGAAGTGCGAATTTATACCTTTCCAATCGCCAAAACGAATCATTCTTCGCAATGGAAGAATTTTTGCAATCGAATTTTGCAGAACCGAACAAAACGAGAAAGGCGAATGGATAGAAGATGAAGAACAAAAGTTCGTATTAAAAGCGGAATTTGTGATTTCGGCTTTTGGATCAGGATTATACAATCCTGCTGGTGAGTGATAATATTATGTTCGGTTAGAATATCAATGTGATATCATAAAAATCTCTCCCTCTTAGTGTATAAAAATAATAATAATGTATCAGTATCACAAATTAAATAAACAAAGAAAAGCGAGAGAAAATTGTAGCAATTAAAAAAAAAAATCTTTATGATGAAAACAGTGAAGAATGCCATGGCGCCAATTAAGATGAATAGCTGGAATTTGCCGGAAGTTGATGAGAACACGATGATGACTTCGGTATCAGGTGTATTCTGTGGAGGAGATCTTGCTGGTGTCGCTCAAACGACCGTGGAATCCGTGAACGACGGAAAGACAGCCGCTTGGTATATTCACAAATACATACAGGTATATCATCAGCTAACACAATATCTCTCTCTCCATTAATTATAAAGTCTAAACTCTTCAAGAAATATCCACGCAAAAGCATGGATTTTTTTTGTCGAATTTTAAATAAATATAGCTCTATTATTATTATTAATGTAATAATATAACAATAATTGAAAATAATAAAAATAAATTTACAAATATCTTATTTCGATAAATTTACAAAAAATACAATAAATAAAATTTTACTTGCCTAAATTTTTATTTCATATTTTTCGAAAAATCGACAAAGTGATTTATGTTCTCGATTTGATTGCTTTTCTATGGTTTGATTATCACGTAGGAATCTTACGGCCTGACAGTGCCGGAAACTCCGCAATTACCGAAATTTCATACCGCTATCGATGACGTTGATTTAAGCGTTGAAATGTGTGGGCTAAAATTCGAGAATCCTTTTGGTCTGGCTTCCGCGCCACCTTGCACCACCAGCGCGATGATCCGACGTGCTTTCGAAGCGGGTTGGGCCTTCGCTGTCACGAAAACCTTCTCCTTGGATAAAGTATTTCATCAAAGAGTAATCAAGTTACAAACGACATGTATATTTTAATTCTAACTTTGTGTTTTTAATAATTCTTCTTAGGATCTCGTCACCAACGTGTCTCCGCGCATCATCAAAGGTACAACCTCCCGTCATCATTATGGACCCGAGCAGGGTAGCTTCTTGAATATCGAACTGATATCCGAGAAAACCGCCGATTACTGGTGCCGCAGTATCACGGAACTGAAACAAGATTTTCCTTCAAAGGTATACTGTTAACGGTATCAGCTGTTTGCTGAATTAACAATTTTAATTTTTTAATAGAATTATAATAATAAAATTAAAATAATTTTAACTAAATTGTTGATGTTTTATAAACCTTTTATCAGATTTTATTATATATTTTTGCATAGATCGTTATCGCGAGCATTATGTGCACGTATAACAGAGCCGATTGGACGGAACTGGCGAGAAAAGCGGAAGCAGCAGGTTCTGACGGCTTGGAATTAAATCTATCATGTCCTCATGGTATGGGCGAGTCTGGTATGGGCCTGGCCTGTGGACAGGTTTGTGTGTGCCTATTTTTTTATATTCAGGCTTAAAGTGTAAAACGGATAAAAAATAGAATTGATTTTTTTTTCAGGATCCTGAATTAGTTAGAAACATCTCCAGATGGGTTCGCGAAGCCGTCAAAATACCGTTCTTTATAAAATTGACACCCAACATCACCGATATTCTTTCCATCGCCAAGGCAGCTTATGAGGGTAATACAAATTATTCTGGAATTTACATCAAATTATATCGTTATATGTACACTGTGCAAAAAAAAAAAAAATAAATCGTAGCGTTGCAGAAATAAGAATTATGTTACAATTATTTAAATATTTTATTTTCTTACAATAATATCAAATATTTAAAGCAGCTTTATACAAAACTTTCAATGTGGTCAAATTTTTATAAAAATTCACGTACATTAAAAGTTTTAATAATTAATTCCGTTAATAATTAATATTTGATATAGGTAAAGCCGATGGCGTTACCGCCATTAATACGGTATCAGGATTAATGGGACTTCATGCTGATGCGACCCCATGGCCAGCGGTAGGTCTTAATAAGTCCACAACGTACGGCGGGGTGTCGGGAAACGCTACCAGGCCCCAAGCTCTGAGGGCTATCTCGACGATCTCGAAGCATCTTCCAGGTTTTCCAATACTTGGCGCCGGGGGTGTCGACTCAGCCGATGTCGCTTTGCAGTTTTTGCATTGCGGTGCATCGGTCATTCAGGTATAGCGTGTTTCCGACTCTTTTTCTCTTCATTTTATTCACTGTCTTCCACTATTCTCTTATCAACTTAGAATAATTAGCGCACAAAACATCAGAGCAATGCCAAAGAAAGAACTAATTAAGAGTAGATGGTAAAAAAATACAATGAAAAATTCAACGATAATAAACTTCTTTTCTTTTCGATGTTCTTATCGATTAACGTTGGTAATTCATCAAAAATTATCGGGAAAATATATTTTGATGTAAAAAGTACCCGAGAAAAATTCGATACAAATTTCAAACTAGATTTAAATTGTAAATTTAAATGTCGAGAGAGCTCTCGATAATTAAATATTATTCGTCAGAAATAAATTAAAATATAAATTTTTCGCTTTAAACATTACATTATGCGATTTTGTAATTAAATATTTAATACACAGATTTGTAGTGCCATTCAGAATCAAGACTTCACTGTGATATATGACTACGTGACCGGCTTAAAAGCGTTATTATATTTGAAGAGTCTGCCACAGATGAAGGACTGGGACGGTCAGAGCCCACTGACATTAAAACATCAAAAAGGCAAGCCTGTTTCCTTGCAACATGCTCTTGGTAAAGTAAGTATTATCAATCATTTGTCAAATTTTCGATAAATATCAACGTAAGCAAAAGCAAATTTAATCAAAGATAAATTAAAAAGCTACAGATATTAAATTTTAAACGTAAAGTTTTGGCGAAGAAATAGTTATACCTCTCTTTGTTTTCAAAATAATATTAATATAAAATTAATAAATTAATGAATTATATTTTATATGTGTGTAACAATAAAATTAATAATTTCTATTAAAATATTTTAATTATAATAGCGCGCACTTTCTTTTATTATTGTGTATTTATTAAGCTTGTATATTTTACAATACTTTTACCCTAAGTCTAACATTTTTTATATTAGAATATACCATATTTTGGCGTATACCAAAAACTGCGCGAACAAAAGATAGCCGAGTTGAAAGCTAATTCGAATCCTTTGGATGAAGTCGTGACGGTAACAAGACCCACTCCAAAACCAATTACGCCGGTACCTACTGTCAAAGACATAATCGGCAAAGCGTTAGTACACATTGGTAGCTACAGAGAATTGGATAACAAGAAGCAAGTAATTGCTTTGATTGACGATGTACGTAAAATAATAAATTATGATTCCTAATATTAGGATCTATCCCACGCATCTACATAATTGCTCTTCTTTTCAGGATATGTGCATAAATTGCGGCAAATGTTACATGGCTTGCGCAGATTCCGGATATCAAGCGATCATCTTTGATCCTGACACCCACATCCCCAAAGTAACGGACGACTGCACCGGATGTACACTTTGTCTATCCGTGTGTCCGATTATCGATTGCATCACGTAAGTTTCAAATATAATAAAATGTTATAAACTGTCTTTATATTTTATTTTTTATTTCAGTTTTATTTTTTAGCTTATTTTTGTTAGCTTATGTATGTATATATGTTCTGTAATTTTTTCAGTATGGTTCCAAAAACGATTCCGCATGTAATTAAAAGAGGCATACCGCCAAAAAATACAGCCGAAATTTGTTAAGCGATAATCCATCCAATATTATTACCGAACGATTTTTATATTAACATAATTTTTTCACGTACAAGCTCTTGATTATTAAATAATTGTTAACATCAACATGTAATAAAATTATAATATATTGTATAATAATAGAATAAATGATATTTAGCAATCGTGTAATGTCATTATGCAAATATTATTAATAAACCATATAGCAATCTTGAATTAAGTATATGATTAGCGTCATTAATAAAGGATTTACTTTAAAAAGTGGGATATAAAGAATGTGAATAAGTCTTTACGATCATAAAGTTCTGTTGCATTCACATAATATATTTGTGCGTATTATGATATACACTACTGCATATCGTACAGTACAACATAAATCTAGAGTAAAGCGTGTGCAATAATAGCCTCTCAAACAAATTAGATTAATCAACTCTATCTTGTTAATTTTAATCGTTATTTAAAACTGATATTTGTTTAAAGAATTACAAATTTTTAAAAATATAATATACAACGGCTACAGATTTTTCTCTTAAGAGATTTTTCATGTATGAAATCTGTGGTCGTTATATTAAGAATAACGAACTGTTATATAACTATATGTCAAGAATAACAAACTGCAAAAGTGCAAGGATTCTTTAAAATCTTACGTACACGATTAAATATATGCATGAATCTCTTCCTTTACTTTGCCAATTTCGAATCACCTGTTATGATTAACTAAAACTTGGGATTATCAATCCATTTGTACTTCGCGCAGTGATTTTTACAAGCCGTATTATCACCAAGCCTGAAAAATTGATGTATATAAAACTTAGTTTAAATTTACATTAAAGATGTCTAATGCAAACATTTAAAAAATTGAAATAACCCAGCAAACACAGAATATAACTGCTATATAACATGGGAATGGCATGTACATTCGAAGCATTGCGGTCGCAATATAGTGAAATACGTCGTTCCGATAGTTTCAGAAATTAAGCTGTCAGCTTCCTTCAGACATTTGTAGAACTCATGATCGCAGAAGCAAGCTGATCTATTATCAAAAAAATTACAAAAACTTGACATAAAAGAAATTAATGAAAAATTATTAATAAAGCTAACATTAATCAAACAGATCTATCATTTCGTGAAAAAGGATGATATGTAAAATATATGATTTGATAACAAAACTTACATACTATTAGATTTATATATACATGTCATACATAAATAAAGTTGTACATATAACATTTCTTTCAGATGATGCTAAATATGAATGTTCAACACAACAAGTGTTGAAGATAATGCTCGAGTTATCTCTTTCGTTCAATTACCTCGTGAAGATACCATTATTTATGAGATTGACTTCTGTGTCACCGGCTGAGATATCGTTCTTACAGTTATCATGCGCCCTGCAACAGGCATCCGTCCTGTTGAAAAGGCCGAGGTCGTTTTCGTTTTTGGCGATATCTCCACCGCCGCACCAGAGTGTTCCTAACACAAGTATAATCATTGCAAGATAAAAAAAAAATGACGGCAAAAAAATTCTAGTCAGCAATAGTAATACAATTAATTCTTTTTTTATCGGATTCAAAAATACTGCACTTTATTTTATGTTTTTACAGTGATAAATTTCTAATGCAGGAGCAAGAGAGTAGTCAGTAAAATAGTAATCAAATGATTGATATTGCAGGAAATATATCTATCTAATAAATATATATCTAAGAAATAAGTTTTATATTATGTGTAACTTATCTCAAATTTTTTAAAAGATATCTATAAATTCATAAATCAATATGATAGTAAGAAAAAGAATTTAAAAGATTTAAAATATTGAATTGCATTTAGTCCAAACATTTCTTGACATAAAAAAGTAAATTGCGAAAGTTATATGGTTCGGCTTTATACATGTTTGGTTGTATTTACGGAAATATCTGATTGCATACAAAAAAGAAAAAAGATTTATTAAGAAAAAATCCTTGAATATACATCATGTGTATCAGTAACCGATTATTCTATCCAACGCTTTTTGTTATTATCGTGGAATTTTCCAACAAGTCTTTGCAATGACTTGCAATACAATAACTCCTTTTCAACGTGTGCAATGATCAAAACATATCTCTCAAAGCTCGTTTATGCTTCTTTTACAATTAATATTTATTCTATCTAATAAATATACTAATTCCACATATGCGTAAAAATTGCTTTAAATTAGTATTACTATTTTATTTAAAATGTAGAATGTAATTCTAATATTTTTATATTTTATAAGCATTTTCATCTCTCGGTACAAGTTTACATTCTGGCGCGAATAAAATAGTTACATGATTATCTCTCATTCCTCCAAAATTAACAAACTATTAAAATACAAAATTTAGCATTCATTTGCGAATTACGAAATACGAGCATTTGCTTCTCTCTTTCTGTTTCTCTTCATAACTCGTTTTTACAAGTTTTTAATTTACGAATAATATATATTAAACACATGAATATGCTTTTTCGTTAACTAAATTTTCCTAGAAATCAGAAATTAATAAGCCATTAATAAGAAATATGGCGAAAGAATTTGCATTCTATATTCTGCACGTCGTTATAAAAGATAATTCTGTCTCTCGGAATTATTCGCATAAAAATCTTAAGTCATCAGTCAATTTGCATATGCTGTACTATAGCAATGATAATAAATGTTCATACCAACATTACAATGTTGTACAAAGTAATGCACCTGTGGAAATAGCAATACGGCTTAATCGAACAAATTCAAGGTAATACTTTCACGCGTGATCGTATCACATACGATCAATTAACATCAATATCTACGACCTTTAGATAAATTTAATTAATTATACAAAATATTCATTTATTCGTATATAATTGATTCAACACAATTAATCTGAATTTAAATAATGAAAATTTTGAAGGCAAAGATGTCTGTATATATATTTTGTAATTGGTAATTAAATATTTCATTTTTTTTAAGCTCTCAATATTGTTATTTTAATTATAGAATTATTAATCGCTGTAAAAAAGCACGTGAGAAATTTATTTTTAAAAGAATTTTAAAATTAATTTCATGTTCCCAATATTAGAGGAACTTTGCAAATATTTGTTCCTAATTGTCTCATTTACTGTAACCGTTTATTCCAATAAATAATTATTGTTAGTGTTTTTCTCTCTTTCTATCTGCGATATTTAAAGAAAGGCTCACATTTGCACATTTTAAATTAAATTTTATGAGACCGCCAAAGAGTAAAGATTTTCTAATATTTTGTAATTGAATCTTGCGAAAAAATTTCCGTGACTTCATTTTTATACTTATGTATTCCGTTTTATTAATTTTAATAATTATAACATCGTATTTTTTTAGAAACGTGAGCTTAAAAAAATAAAAATGTATTTTAACGTTACAGATATATATTAGCTTCAATAACTATGTCCGTTCGTATGTAACTGCAGCGAATAGTTTGTTTTTTCTTCTGTTTCGTTTCTAATCTGCTAATAGAAATAAAAATAAAAATCGAAAATTAAAGACTCTACATAAAAAGATCGTGAAACCATCATATTTTTAGGTAATATTCTTTCATTAAAAAAACTCTGTCATAATTGATAGAAACTTTATCATCATAGAAACTTTAGCATCATAGAAACTTTCACTGCGTATAGGAATATTTTTAATACATAAAATAAATTCAAATATTTTCTTTGTAAAAGAGATATTGGCAAGATACTGAATACAGATTCGGTAATCCTAAATATTAATAATATATTCTATATATTTGTATGTGTAGATATTTAATAAAATATTCTTTATTTTTAATAAAATATGCTCTATATCAGAAAAAGTTTTTTTCTCCTAAAATATTCGCTTTTAGTATTTGCAGTCTTTTTTCTGCGAATTTTCTTGGATTATGAAATGATTGAATTACCTGGAAAAATAAGACCATGTTCTTTAAGTTTTTCGAAGAAGTCGCTGAAGGATCCTCGCAATGTATTTCTGTTTCTCTTCATAATAGCATCTACGGACAGCCCTTCTACGGGCAGCTTCGGCCTTTTTACGGGCAGCTTTATCCCTTCTACGGGCAACTTCATCTCTTCTACGGGCAACTTTATCCCTTCTACGGGCAACTTCATCCCTTCTATTATCTTTTCAAGAGGTGATAGACGAGTTTTGTCGGAACCAGGTGCACTTTTTGTGCAGTTTGTATCATCTCCGTAAACGGCGTTATTTTCGCAATCACCGAATCGTACAGCAATGCTGAGAATGAGGAAAAGTGCGAGTAGGCAAATACGTGACATCGTGTTATCTATTCACCTAAAATTAAAAGGAACAGAACGATAGCGTTCTCTTAATAAACACGATGCACACGTTGCTATATATTGCATGTGAATAACAAATGGAGAAAAGATGAATTTAAAGATAAAATAAACTTAACTCTTAGTATTTCTTATTATCTCTAAGACATTACAATACAAATGATAGGCCGTGTTCCAAAATTCACTACCAGTACTGGAAATATATAATATACATTACGTGAACTATAGATTTTCAGTACTAGTAGTGACTTTTGGAACACAACCATAGTATATTGTCTATAATGGGAATCTTAATGATCGGAATCTTATTCACAGATGGGAATATGATATGTAAAAATATTTGAGACAAAGTTTTTTTACAATAATATGCATATATAATCTTCCTTTAATTTTTTATGAGGAATATGTATTTATTGAAAACAAATAATATAAATTAAGAAAATGTGAAAATGTTTTAACGATGTTTCAAATCTAAGTAATTAATATTCGACGTAGTGTTTTAGCTAATTCCGTTGCGAGAAGCGGAAAAACAAAATGATATTTTTTCACACACAAGATATAAATAGCTAATAATTTATCATAATTATATATAATTATTAATAAACTATTATTTAATAATTAATATAATTATTAAAAATGAACTTAACATAGAAGCTGTTAATGCATAATACATATGGCGAAATTTATCTAAGTATAATGTATTATCCGTCAAATAGATTAATAAGTTTTGGAAAGATTCTTCGAGACTCGTCCTGAAAAGACGAAGTCTTGAAGAGTATCTTCTCGATATTTATTAATCTATTTGCAAAAATTTGCGCATTGTAGTAGCACACGTCGCGTTCGCTTACCTCGCTATGACTAAATGATGACGAGAACTGTTTCCAGCAATTTGACACTTCACTTAAATACCGCCGGTACATCTACCAAACGAAATCAATCGCATGTATAATTCGCTGCGATAAATAGAATATTGTCGTTTAACACTTGTGCAAATGTCAAGAATATTCCCAAAAAAATTTTACTAACATACATATATATCATGCCACATTATCCAAACAAATATACAAATAGCAAAAGTGTAAAGGCTCGAATAAATAATGACGATGTATATTGATAATGGGTGAATTTAGCGTGGACTTCATGTTTATCTTTTCTGTTCTTTGTTTATCCTTTAGATCATTATGTGATAAAATGATACGCATTACACATTTGTACAATGTGCCGGATGATTTATTATCAGCATTCTTCTCTGTGCGGAAAATAGAAATGTAACATCATAATTAATCGTTAACCCGCAGCGTGTATGAACGACTATGCTATTTGTGTACGTAAAATACATTTCCGGTACTTCGCGCATTTGGCTATTAAAAAATGCGACGAATATATATCGGATATATATTAAAAGATGCGATAAATATAAATACATTTACTTGATAACCTCAGTAATTAGACCGTGCATTACAAAATCACTTACAAATCACTAGCGCAAGTAGATGTTATACAATCCTTAATAGATGCAGTGATGGATATATATAAAAAAGACTAAAATTGCTTCGATCCGCTTAAAAAAAATAACAGGTACTAAATATAAATCGTTACACAATTATACAAATAATATTCTACAATGCTTTGCAGCATTTCATACTCTCATTCAAGAATCCGCAGTTTCGTCTGTATCACAGTCTTCAGCAGTATCCTCTCCCTGTAAAGCGTGACGTTTTTGCAAACGCGCGCAACGTGGACAGCAGTGGTTGCGTTTGGCCCAGCAAACACGATGATGCACCGCCGAACACTGCGAACAGATAATCGAGCTCGCGTCCCACGGATAAATGATCTCGTCGTTGCCGCATATCTCGCATAAGTGTCCCCTGAGAAACGTTGTAACATCTTTAAACTAGCTCTTATATCAATAATTGAATTAAATTAAACATATATACATATATATACATAATCTAATGATACAAAAAGTTCTGGATATCGATTAGAACGTGTAAAAAAAATAATTAGTTATAATTGAAATCAATATCATTATGAAAGCAGATTTTAGAATACACTTTATGTATGAAATTCTACACCTATTATTCTAGTAGTTCTAAGTCTTCACAAATGAATTCGGCATAAAGATCGAGTTATGTCGAGGTCGAATATTTTCTTATAGACAATTAAAATTAAAATTTTTAAGATACCAGAAAATACAGACGTTTTAAGATACCGACTAGAAGATAAAGAGAAAAATTCCACAAGTATCATTCTACATATTAAATTCAAAAATAGTTGGCAACAAAGATTTTAACATATGAATTTGACATAAAAACTGAGTTGCATCGATATGAAAGGATGAATGCATCCTTTTCACTTGAATGCTTACCTTGCTTTACAGAGTTCGCATTGGTGCGTAATATGCGCATGCATCGTATCATATGCGGCCCGAAGCTCATCCAGAAGAATGCCATTCTGAAGATCGATGAGATCCTTGATGGAATAGTTACCTGAATTCTCAATCATATGCGTGCGCAACCCGATTTTCCACGGTAATCCTTGAGCACAAGCGTCTAAGCACAGAACCAAGTATCTCTTCATCATTTGCATTTCCCCTCGCATTCGCTACAATTTAATCAATTAAAATCTGATTTAATCTTTGCATATACATATAGATATTATCAATTTATTAATTCTTTCGCACAGCTTTCGTCACATTATTATTCGAAATATAAATGTTCTCAGATTAAAATTACCGTATTTATTACAGAGAAGTATAACTAATAGTTTGATATATATTGTAATCACGAAATATTGCAGGTACATCATTTAAATCCTTCACAATTTTATTTCAATAAAAAAGATATATTTAATTTAAAATTAACATTTATCTATAGTTACTTCTAAGTTGATTTTATTAATCTAACAATAAGTATATATATATAGGGTATTCCTGGGTTAAATGGCCAAACTTGAAATATGAATTTGAAGTTACAGAATTATAGAAATGAATAATATCGAAATGTTCCTTTTTTTTGTTTTGAAGATCGAAGATCATTGACTGGCTTACACTGTAAACAAAGCTAAAACGGAGGATATTGCAAGTGTGCGAAGAAATTACAGATATATAACATCAATCAGCCACTTGTTCTCTCATTGATAGGTGCAATGCTTGTTTCCGAGCTGGAGGCCATCATTTTGAACAAAGCATTTAATAATTAAATTTTTGTTACTGTAATGCAATAAAGAGGATAAACCTATATTATTTCAACATTATTCATTCCTATAATTCTATAACTTAAGAAATCAATATCTTTTGAACGAAGCGTTTGCAAGCATATTTCCAGAGAAAAATTCTTTTTGTATATATTTCAGATATATATTGTACATACACAATGGGCCTCACCTTTACGAGCGACAGATCCGGGACCAGAGTGAAGAGTTTCGGGTTTAATTCTTCCAACGACAATACAGAACGATCCTCCAAGAGCATAAGAAGCTGTGCCGCGGCGCGGGACACCAGACGCGGTTCCATATCCCAGTTTCTGATTACTCTCGCAGGAATAACCATGGCTGTATTCCAATGGCATCTCTGACAGTAATACAGACCGCTATAGTCACAAAGTCGCGGCTCCACCCACGCCGATTCTAAAACCGTTATTTCTTTATTAGCAGATTGTACATAATCATAAATATTGTGCGATTCAACAGAAATATGTTTGCGGGAAATGTAAATATTTGATGTATGGTTGATTTAATAGAAAATTCTATTACTATATATATCGACAAATTTTACAAAAGTTTCCCTAACATAATCGCATGTGATAAGAGATTGAAGCAAGACATGAAAACGGAGTTATAAAGAATTTGCATCAAAGTAATAATGTATATGCACATGTGATAACGTTGTTAATGTAAAGATATTAATATCTCAAATACCTGTATGCTTAAAGGAACTGCCGAAGCAAGATAGCGATAATCCTTTCGAGAAAGCTTGCAAGAAGACAACAATGTACTTACTATTATTATCTCACGGGATATCTCCGCGCCCAATTATAAATGAACGAAGTAATAAGCAAACGTATAAAATAAACAACAAATAGACAAATGTTTATTTCATCTATCTATTATTAGTAAAATATTGATCTGACTTTCTTGTAATCTAAAGTCATCAAATACTTACTGAATGTTATTCTCACTTTGCATTCCGCACAACGGTAGCTCTGTTTGGAAAGGCCTTGCTCTGGACAGATATCCTTCGTATGGGTGTAACCGCCGGCTTCGCTGGCGATTACATGTACGCAAACACGGCACACATTGTTCAGACATTTCCAGTGGCAACTAAATTTGCAATCTGAAATAAAAAATATCGCATCTTCATAATCATTATATAACAAGATTTGCAGTTATTCATTAATTCTATTAACTCAATATCTACATTGATATATGTATATAGATATTAGTGTTCATTAATCAACATGATCAAGGCACGCTAAATTGTTTAACATTTACCGCTGCACATATACCACGATTGTAGCATCGCCCAGATTGCTCCGCTACAGTGATCGCAGTAAACCGGACCAGATGTGGTGATGTGGTATTTCTGAGGCACGAAATGATGCCCAAGAATCACACAAGTTTCGAAAAGATTCTCGTCCGAGGTCTCGCGCAACTCCTGCGCGCGTAAACGTAACTCGATTAGCCGTCGAACAAGCCATTTACGCTCATCTGAACACTCGGCGCTCTCCAGCACCATCAACTTACACTTGTGTACCATTTCCTTAAGATTCTCTTCGGAGGCATCCTAAACGAGAAGATAATTTGTGTTAGTTCCTTCATTTTTCGTTTATAACAAAATAATGTCAATTAAACAAATTTAATTATTCTTTAATCAAAAGATATATACTGATAATTAATTAAAATAGATGTTTGACAAATTTCAACTCTTTTTATATATTAACTTATCAATTAGAGATTGGACTTGATTCAATTATTTTGTATACTTTGGATAATGAGAGCATAGTTTCCACTGATTTTAGGCTGAATGGAATAGTTCCCTTGCTGTCAGAGCTATCATCTGCTTCTCCTGTCATGTAGTCAGAAAAGGATGACGGCGTCGACGTTCCTGTACCAGAACTATTCGCTCGTATTCTTGACTCATAATGTGAATCACTTTCTCCAACGATAGGAGAATTACTTTTTATATCTATCATTTTCTACAAAACACATACCAAGAAGAAATATATAAAGATGTGTGTCATATTTTCTTACAAAAATAAAGCTCTTTCCATATCATATCATATTTATTGGTGTGATAAGCATTTCATGACAACTTTTGTTACTCTTAACTCCTTAAATCAGTTTCAAGCATTTTAATTCATGGAAGAAAAGAGAGCAATATTTTATATCATGTTATTATCACAATGAAGTAAAGCTAATACATATATATTTAAAAGATTATACGCTATACATATATATAGAAATATAATTTGATAAAATTGAATATATAATTTGAAAATAAAATTGAGTGGAAACTGAAATATCGATTGTATATAATTACGCATTATATAAATACTTCTATATTTTCTTCTCTTTGCACTTCTTTTTTAAAATACTCTTATCAATTTAGCTTTAAAATAAATAATCTGAAGGAAAAATATACATACCACTTTAGACTATGTTTTTTAGATGAAACTGCACAAGCCACCGCCTCAATATACATAAATATATTCAATGCATTTAATTATGATGTGCGCATAATTCACAACAACAAAGTGAAAATTCAACAATAAATTAATGAATGAAATGCAAATTTTAAAAGCCACTCTTGCATGTCTCTCGATGGACAACTCAGGTTACGCTTGATAAGTAAAAGGATGTGTTCCGAAATCAGCTGATATGTACGAAGTGCATTTTCATAGCGCGAAATTGAAATTTGATTTTCCTGATTCTTATCCCGAAATTGTTTGTAATTATTCCTGGAATAAAACTAGTTTAATTAATCAATATCTATTAATTCGGTTAAAGTTAAAAGTAAAATTTTACCACAGAAATCTAAAAAAAAAGGAAAAAAAAAACAGATTTTACTGTAAACAATTTATTTCTTTTCTACAAAAGATTTCGTTTGTAATATCTATGAAATTAGAAAACATAACGAGATTTTACATAGAACTTACAAAGCCTGTACAATTAATAAATATTTCGTAATTTTTCATTTTCATGATTAAATAATATATAAATAATTTTTTATTACCAATTTTTGTTCGAAACAGATATTTAAACAATAAAAGATCACTGCTGCATAAAAAAGTTGTTTATCATAAATTAGGACGCTTTAATTTTTCTTTCGCATAAATATCATTACAAAAGATATTTAAAAAACATAATCATGTGTGAATTCAAAATATATATTTGAGAAAGACTTTTATAGTGTGTATATGTATGTGTGTACACTCTATGTAAATTAGTTCAGTCTCAGATGTAGGAAGCATATGCATGTTTTGGAAAATTTACTTTTTCTCATTAGAGGTTTACACTACACGACCATACTACACTGAATTATATTAAATCTTGAAAAATCTATAAAACAATCATTATATGCACAAAGACGATGTTTCACATTCACATTTCCAGATCATTTATTTCCTATTAAAAATATGCATCCTACATAATTATCGTCCTATTCATGATAGCTATATCCTAACGAGGAATCACGAAAACCTGAAAGTAGTATGTCAAAATCTTCAAAAGTCGATTGGGACATTTTATATCAAAGCATGTATGAATCCAAATGCAGACTTTTAATAAAAATCTTTAACGCTACACTGCTTAAAATTATAAATAATATATGATCCTATTATCAGTTTATTAACAGGCGAGAGGAAATTCGAGGTATACATCTTAGAACGCATACAAGATCTATACAATCCTTCCTGCGCATATTACTAATATTTTCTGGCACAGTCAAATTCTCGTAGCATTATCAGTCAAACTACTCCTGAAATCTAGCTTTATATAAATATATATAAATATAATCTTGATATTTTTTTATTTATATATATTTATACAAATATATATTTCAAAAGTAATGCCAATTGAAATTATATGGAATGCTCCGTTTGATCTAAAAATCATGCACAATATATTATATTATGAGATTTCTGAGAGATTATACTTTGTCAGAAATATAAAGATAAGAGTTTGATCGATTTCACGAAAGTTGACGTGAAATCACGCATCTCGAAAACGAAAGAGCAATGGCGGGAGGGAGAGCAAGGGAGACTAACTATAATATAGTAAACTTAATACTTATGCTTTGGTTTTTAAGTAAAGAAAACATCCTGCGGAATCTATGTGACATCATTATTCGTAAAAAAGCATCAAAGAGAAAAGGAAAAAGAGAAAGAGTTATTCGTATATTATTCCGAGAAATCTAGAACACAAACGCGCATCTATATATTATTGTTATTATTTATATGCAGGACAAGATCATTATCTCATGAAATACAAGGGCATTGTGTATGTATGTGTGTGTACATACATTACAATATTCGATACACATTGGGACTCGAATTTCACATTTGATCGATCTTCTGACAAATTGATAGTTGGAACTAAGAAAAGAAATCTAAAAAAAAAGGAAAAAAAAAAACAGATTTTACTGTAAACAATTTATTTCTTTTCTACAAAAGATTTCGTTTGTAATATCTATGAAATTAGAAAACATAACGAGATTTTACATAGAACTTACAAAGCCTGTACAATTAATAAATATTTCGTAATTTTTCATTTTCATGATTAAATAATATATAAATAATTTTTTATTACCAATTTTTGTTCGAAACAGATATTTAAACAATAAAAGATCACTGCTGCATAAAAAAGTTGTTTATCATAAATTAGGACGCTTTAATTTTTCTTTCGCATAAATATCATTACAAAAGATATTTAAAAAACATAATCATGTGTGAATTCAAAATATATATTTGAGAAAGACTTTTATAGTGTGTATATGTATGTGTGTACACTCTATGTAAATTAGTTCAGTCTCAGATGTAGGAAGCATATGCATGTTTTGGAAAATTTACTTTTTCTCATTAGAGGTTTACACTACACGACCATACTACACTGAATTATATTAAATCTTGAAAAATCTATAAAACAATCATTATATGCACAAAGACGATGTTTCACATTCACATTTCCAGATCATTTATTTCCTATTAAAAATATGCATCCTACATAATTATCGTCCTATTCATGATAGCTATATCCTAACGAGGAATCACGAAAACCTGAAAGTAGTATGTCAAAATCTTCAAAAGTCGATTGGGACATTTTATATCAAAGCATGTATGAATCCAAATGCAGACTTTTAATAAAAATCTTTAACGCTACACTGCTTAAAATTATAAATAATATATGATCCTATTATCAGTTTATTAACAGGCGAGAGGAAATTCGAGGTATACATCTTAGAACGCATACAAGATCTATACAATCCTTCCTGCGCATATTACTAATATTTTCTGGCACAGTCAAATTCTCGTAGCATTATCAGTCAAACTACTCCTGAAATCTAGCTTTATATAAATATATATAAATATAATCTTGATATTTTTTTATTTATATATATTTATACAAATATATATTTCAAAAGTAATGCCAATTGAAATTATATGGAATGCTCCGTTTGATCTAAAAATCATGCACAATATATTATATTATGAGATTTCTGAGAGATTATACTTTGTCAGAAATATAAAGATAAGAGTTTGATCGATTTCACGAAAGTTGACGTGAAATCACGCATCTCGAAAACGAAAGAGCAATGGCGGGAGGGAGAGCAAGGGAGACTAACTATAATATAGTAAACTTAATACTTATGCTTTGGTTTTTAAGTAAAGAAAACATCCTGCGGAATCTATGTGACATCATTATTCGTAAAAAAGCATCAAAGAGAAAAGGAAAAAGAGAAAGAGTTATTCGTATATTATTCCGAGAAATCTAGAACACAAACGCGCATCTATATATTATTGTTATTATTTATATGCAGGACAAGATCATTATCTCATGAAATACAAGGGCATTGTGTATGTATGTGTGTGTACATACATTACAATATTCGATACACATTGGGACTCGAATTTCACATTTGATCGATCTTCTGACAAATTGATAGTTGGAACTAAGAAAAACGAGGGATATTCACAAATTTTCTTAATGTTACTATTGATCTTCAAAAAGACGTTTCTTTGCAGGGTATATATATATCTCTCTCTAAAAAGCTCGGACATCTGAAAAGCGAGATAGATATTCAAAAGACATCCTAATCTTTTAAACTTGTCTCTCAGATGTATTGTAAATTCTTACATATTTTACGATTTTCATTGCCTTCAACGTATTTTTCTAAGAAGATTTTCAAAACTATTAGTCGCATTCAACGCTAAATGTACGCTGAAAATGCAGACAAACTCAAGTCCCACTGATATCAATGAAAGAATATAATAAGAAAGAGATTAAAGGCATCAACACCTGTATATGATTAAATTATGTCTATACAATATTACAGAGCCATTGTGATTAAACGCGAGATGCAACTTTGATCATCTATGTAACAAATACACTTTAAATTACAAAAATTGCGCTCGTTGGGACTCATTGAATAGGGAATTATCCGATGTTCAAAACATAATTTATCAAACATTACAAATAGATAACAAAAGCTAAAATTGAGTAGGGATGGATAAGACAAGGAGCAAAACAGGGGATAATAAAAAGGAGAAGGAAATTATCGCATACATACAGAATTTGTATATCGCTACCTAAAAAAAAAAAAAAAAAAAAAAAAAAAAAAAAAAAAAAAAAAAAAAGAAAAAAAAAAAAAAAAATTTTTTAATATTTTTTTTTTGATTAAAGAACATAAATCTAATT